GGGGGTTCAGGGGCGCCCGCACGGCTACCTTCCTGGCACTGGAGCAATGGTGGCTGGGGCGGGAGAAGGTGTGGCTCTCCTTCCAGGGGTGGATTGGGGCCCAGGTTACCTCCCGGCATTGGAGCAATGGCGGCTGAGGTGGGAGAAGGCGTGACTTTCCTTCCCGAGGTGGATCAGGGCCCAGGCTACCTCCCTGCGCTGGAGCAATGGTGGCTGGGGCGGGAGAACGTTTTTTTGTTTTTTTTAATACTAATGGAAATCTGTCTGTGTGATTTCTTTTTTACCTAATTTTTTGTCCGATACTATAAATTTCTTTCACATAATTGACTTTTTAGATATTTGAAGACAGTTACCAAGTACCCTAGTTACCTTTTCTACTATCCTTGTGGCCTTCAGTCATTTTTATTTAAAATTGTACAAGCTCACAGTTTCAAGGTTAAGATAAAAGAACAAACTAGTTTTTCCCTTTACCGGTTCCCCTTTCTCCATAAGCATCCCTTTGCACTCTGTATGGTATCTCTTTACCTCAAGAGCTTTATTTTTTTTTCTTGGCCATGTTGCCTAGGCCAAACTCAAGATTAGATAGTCTAGCTCCAGCCTCCTGAGTAGCTAGATCAAGATCTATCTTTTTAAAGATGTGTTATGTACATATACTAACTGCACACAAGGAATGTAAATGTTATATACTAATAAAAAATTTGCTACTTACAATTTTTTTCTTTGCTCAAGTGGGTTTTTTTTTTCTCCCTCTTTTTCTTACACTCTATACAGACACCTTTTCCAATTCCTTCTTTCTCCTAATTAGTTTATAATAATTTTGGTCATATTGCTTTTTATAGTTTCCTGTATTTTGTAGGATTAGCTCTTCTAGTAGGTTTCTGAAACATTAAACCAGTGTGGAAAGTTAAAAAAATTATTTTCATTTTAGAAAATTAAACATGTAGTATATAAAAGTAGATAAAACAGTATAACTAACTCCAATATAACCATCACCTAGCTTCAACAGCTCTTAAATGTAGCCAATCTTGATTCACCTGTATTCTCACCAATCTTCTAGTTATTTCCAAGTGCATGCTGTTCAGATCCTTCTATCTAATAATTCAATATGCATCTCTAACACTGAGATTCATATATGTGCACTTAATATATAATAACAATAATGCCATTTCCATTTTTTTAAATCAGGAACAAAATTTTAAATATTTGTGTGTTTTAAAGTTCTTTCCTGAATTGATAGTTTGAGAATATTAAAGTTAGTTGAAGGGAGGACAGGAGAATGGGGAAAAAAATAAGAACCAAGATAGATCCTGTAAAGGTGCAAATTTCTAATGATGAATGTCATTATGTTGTATACCTAAAATGTACCAATAAAATTAATTTTTTTAAAAGTTAGTTTAGGTTAATATTCTTTCAGAATTCTGAGTTTTGTTTTTTTTTTTAAGGTTTAAAGCTGCTTTTCAAATTCTTCACTATTCTCTTTTGACCCAGTCAGTGACCTTTTTTTAAATTTTATTTTTCTTCTGAAAGCTTTGGGCTCTTTATTCTTAGAAATTTCATGATGATAATTCTTTCTTATGGAACTGTTAATAACCATTTTGTTGAAGACTTCGGGTTTTCTTTCTTTTGTTTTGGTACTGGAGATCAAACTCAGGGCCTTGTGCTTTCCAGGCAGGCTGAGGAATCACTGAGCTAAATCCCCGGCCCTTGGGTTTTGTTTTTTTTGGTTTTTTTTTTTTTTTCAACTAGGCAGTTTTGTTGGATTTCATTATTTCTTTCCCAATTCTCTTTATTTTTCTGGAACTCTGATTATTTGTGATATGATGAGCCTTCTAAGATAATACCCTAGTTCTCCTGTATTTGTATCTTTACACAACTTCTTGTGGCAATGTTCTCAACTTTATTTTCTAACCCCCTGTGTAGCTTTTTTTTACTGTTAATATTTTATATTTCTAAAATCTTTTCCTGTTCTAGAATATTTCATTTTATAGCAATCATGTTTCTGTTTCATAGTCTTGATATCTCTTTTTCTCTGGAGTGTTTATAGATCCCAGGTCCCCCCTCCCCTTAGCTTTTCTTCTAAATTTCTTCTTCCTTTCTTAATATTTTGTTTTGTTCTTTTACTGTAAGCTCTTTCAGATGTCTGTTGATACCTATTTACGTTAAAGAGGAGTTAAAAATTTATTTGGAGGCTCTGAGTACATGGATGGCGTTATGAATTTCAAGCTTCATAACAGAGGTTTTCTGGTCTGTTTAATGATGTCCTGATATTGTCAATATCTTTCCATCTGTCTCTTGGGCTGGTCAGAGTTCCTAGAGAATATTCCTCATCTTTCTGTCCTGCTGTGTGTAGTTGCACAGGCTACCGGTGTTCCAGGAGGAGTTAAGCAGATGACAGAGGCTTAGGCTAGGTCTGAGAATTTGGTTCCATATGTATTCTTTACTCTCCTCTTTGTGTCTCCCATACCAGATGCTTCCACTCTAGCCTGCATTCTTTTGTCAGGATGCTAAAGAGGTAATCAGTCTCCCAGCTGCTCAGAATATATGTTGCTGTTGTAATTTCTTAAAACATGCTTTAAATCATTCTCTCTTGGTACCTTTTGTAAATTTTATTTTGAGACAGGATCTTGCTTAGGTCGCCCAGACTTACAGCTTGGGATCCTCCTGCCTTAGGCTCCTCCTGAGTATTTGAGATTATAGGCATTTGACACCACACCCAACTTCTAATCTTTAGTTTATTAAATCCGTATCAGTGTTGTTGTTAGGAGTTTTACTTCTTATGAAAAGATTTAGGCTTTTTAGTTGTGTAGCTTCATATTTTAAAATTTATGGCATGCACTGCCATGTTGTGACTTACCTAAACCTTCAAATACTTAATATCCTGTTGATTTAGGTTATTGAGTTGAAGTTACTTTAAAATATATTTCCTGAATTCCTATTGTGAGATGCATGTCTTCCTTTTAACCATAGTTTTCTGAAATTGGAGAAATTTTGAAAAATATGGAAAAACACTAAGAAGAAAATATACTGTCATCTACAAAATTGCTCATATTTTAGAATATACCTTTTCCCTACATCCCTGTGATACCTGTGTAATATACATATTTTCCTCTTTAGTACTTTCAAATAATTAGTCAAAGCTGTTTCATAATCTTTTTTGATACAATTATATGTTGTGGATTTTTACTAAAAATGGGTGTTTTGTATGCTCAAAGGAAAATCTGAGGTGACATTTTCCTGTGTATTCTTTGACTTTTACTATTTTTCAGAAAAAAAATACTGACTGACTACCCACTACTATGTTTGTACAGTATACATGGTAAAGAACATGCAGAGTTGCTTAAGACATAATTTGGCCCCTTAGTGCTAGTTAGGGTTCATATTTTGAGTGTAATACATAAAAATAAGCTTAATTTCTTCAGTAAAAAGACTTTCTTTGGATAGAGTTTTAAATTGGCAGTTTTGTAGAATTGCAGTTTGTAGAAAATGCTGTGGTGCCACGACTTCAATGTATATATGCATATGTTAAGGGTCTAAGACATCGTCAAACTAGCTGATTTTCACTATATTTGCCAATTCAGTTCTTTAGCTCTTTATAAAGTATAAAAATCTTGAAATGCACATACAGTGTAATTGTCCCTTGTTCAAAAATTCAAACTTTAAAATTTTTAAAACCCCCAATTTTTTCAGCATCATGTCAGTACTCCAAACATTTCAAATTTATGAGCATTTCGCATTTTACACTTTTGGATTAGTGCTTCTGTATCTGCTAATACCTATATAAATATTCCGAAAATATAAGACATTCAAAAAATTGAAACACCTGTGAAAGAAAGATTTCAAATAGGGGATTCTCAACCTGTATAAGAAAATATAATTAGAAGAAAAATGTTCTGTTTTTATTTCACAGATTACGAGCAGGATTATGTGATCGCTGTGCAGTAACTGAAGAACATATGCGGAAAAAGCAGCAAGAGTTTGAAAATATCCGACAGCAGAATCTTAAGCTTATTACAGAGCTTAGTGAGTTTATTTTCTTCATGTAATAAAGTAAAATGTACTATTTTCACAACCTAAAAGTAAAATGATTATAATGAGATTGTTTACATGTATTTTTTTTATTTAGGTAAAAGGTCATCTCCCCCCCCCCCGCTTTTTAAACTTAATCTCACGCTTATTTTAGTAAGAGATAAATTGCAAAAAGGTTGTATAAATACTGTTTACAGTGGCCTTAAACCATTACTAGATCTAGGATGAAGCAAATTCCTGGGCATGTCTATATTTGTTTCTTTGGTTTTATTTTTATATAATTTGTGTAATAAAGCTAAATACAAAGCCAGTAGTTTAATGTTTTACAAAGGTGTATATATTGGTTTTCATGACATACCATACTGAGTGTACTGTTTTCAGCTTTTTCCTCTTACCACTCAGTGTAGGATTTTCTTACATTATTACCCTTCTACTCTTGTTTTCTCTAATATCCCTCTTAATTTTCTAGTCTTTTTAACTGTTTATGTCTCCTAGTAACTACTATTTAGATTCCCCACAAGTAACTCCGAATCGCACATCCACATCTAATTATCTTCTTTTCTAAACCGGTTCTATCTTCATACTTGATTTTTTTTCTGTTAGTTATATTGCTATCCTCTGGTTACTCATGGAATAATATATAGACATATGCTTTTTGTTTTTAAAAGATAAGAAAGAATATAATATTATTCTGTATCCAAAGTAAACTCCTGTTAACAGTCTAATCTGTATCTTTCCAGGTCCAAGTTTATTTCTGTCCCTCCTTTTACCTCCTTCCTCCTCCCTTCTCTTTTGAATGTTAATAGGATTTTGCTACAATTGCTTTTTTCTTTCTGTTTTATTTCTATGGAGGGGGGGCTAGCTATATAGTCCAAGCTGGCCCTGAACTCATGGCAATTCTCGAGCCTCAGCCTCCCTAGTGCTGGGATTACAGGTGTGCACTACTACACCTGGCCTGCACTTCTTGTTCTGATACATGCTCTTTCATTTTACAATCAGCTATGTCTTGGGAATCTTTACATGTTAATATATTTAGGCCTATAGATTCTGTGGTGTGTGTATAAGAATATTACCAATCAGTAAAAATCTTATATCTCAAATATAGTTGAGATTACAGTCCTATTACTATTAGTACTAGGAATAATGTCCAGTAATGCCTATATATTAATAATGAATTTCAGCAGCTTTAACTGAAAAATAGCTCAAATTTCAGAAAAACAAAAAGATTTGTCTAGGCCTTAAGAAATAAGAAAATATTCTTTTAATAGCCAAACTGTATTCCATAGTGTAGATGTATATTATTTAGCTATTCTCGTATTAATGGACAGCTCTTGTTTGTTTGTTTGAATGGTTGAGAATTTTTATTTTCGTACATTTTCTTTACATTTGGGTAAAAATATATTTAAAAATAATACTTGATCTGGTAAGTGAAGAATGAGACCTTTTTAAATCCTTTAAATTAGCACTGTCTGTTACTGTTAAAGCCAGCTATCTTTAAGTTTTCTTTTTCTTTTTTTTTTTTTTTTTTGAGTTTATTGGTACATTTAGGGATACAGTACAGTTACATTCATTGTTGGGATCATGTACCTTTACATGGCAAGTCTTGATTCTCATTTTAAGTTTTCTTACTCTTTGTTTTTTAACTAAGAGATCTTTGTATGTTAGAGAAGGATTACTAAACTTTTGTTATATATTTATATGGTATATGTATTTTTGTCTCACGGTTCATTGTTTATTTTATAACACCGTCATTTTTAGAAAGGCTTTACCCAGAAATATAAAAATATTCTACAGTTTTTGTACTATATGTACACAAACATTTTAAAATTTACATGTTTAATCCATCTGGAATTTTTAACATGGAGTAGGAAGTGAAAATTTACCATCTTTAGGGTATGTAGGCATTTAGTCTCAAGCTTCTTGTCTCATGATCACAAGATAGCCCATACTTTTTCAGGATTCATGTTTACATTCAGATAAAGAAAAGAAGTGGGGGAGCAAAGGGCTGACATGAGTGCATCAAGAAAATCTTTTTTAAAAAATGTTTCTGGAAGCACTGGCCCAGTAACTTCTACTTCAATCTCACTGGCCGTGAGCCACTCCCCGTACCCTTTCAGTGGAGGATGCCTGAGAATTTGAAGCCTTATGTCAAGTTATGATGCTTACTATAAATTGCCTAGGTAAAAATACCATCTACACATAGTAAGAATTTTATTTTGTCTTTTCATTTATTTTGACATACTGCATTCACTAGGAGTTTTAGGATATTGCCACATGTAGCTGTTGAAATTAGAAGAAATATGTCACTTTTAAGTGTGTTGTGGGCTCCTGATAAATATGTAAAATCAAGTTAAGGGTATTTTCTTCCATTTCTCTTATTCTTAGAATTTTGATTGCATGAAATTGTCAGTCTTTTCTGAGTATCTGTCAAGTGATCAAAAGGCTTTTTTTTTCGATATGTTCATGTGGTGAGTTCTGATAGCTTTTTAAAGTTGAACCGGTGTTTTCATTTGTAGAATAGAAAAATTTAATGTGAATATTTTAATTGGGTGTGTTTATATTTTTAAATTGCATAGCTAGTTTTCCAATTTTCCTGTTGCTGAGTTTATATTAAAATAATGAATTGGGATGCTATTCATCTTTTGAATAATCTTCTATTTGAAATAATGTAAAAGCAGTCCACATAATCTAGGCTTGATGCTGTTGTTAGGATTAGCTCTTTGTCTCCTTTCCCCTGCCTCTTACCAAAGATTGAATTAATGGCTTCAAATGCTCTAGATGAGTGCTATAGCACTGAGTTACAACTCCAGGACCTTTTAAATTTTATTTTATGACATGGTCTCACCTTGAACTTGCAGTCGTCTACCTCGTCTTCCAAGTAGCAGGGATTATAGGTGCCTGCATGCCCAGTGATTATCTTTTTTTTTTTTAGCTTCAAATGCTAGATGAGTGCTATAGCACTGAGTTACAACTCCAGGACCTTTTAAATTTTATTTTATGACATGGTCTCACCTTGAACTTGCAGTCGTCTACCTCGTCTTCCAAGTAGCAGGGATTATAGGTGCCTGCATGCCCAGTGATTATCTTTTTTTTTTTTCAGCTTTAATTGAGTTTATTAGTACATTTTAGGGATACAGTACAGTTACATTCATTGTTGGGATCTTGGACCTCTACATGACAAGTCTTGATTCTCATTTTTTCCCCTTACCCCTGCCCTCCCTTCACCCCCTCCTCCCCTCCCCATCTACAAACACTTTATTTTCATC